TTCATGTAATTAAATTTTTATTAGAACATTGTGCCAATTTACCCTCATATAAGAGCACATGATAATCCTTATTTCCTTGCATCCTCACCTTTCCAGGGTAATGTTATGTGTGTGTGCGCGCATTATGCATGCACACATATATGTTTATATATATACATTTAGTCATACACTGCATAATGACATTTCAGTCAATGATGGACTGCATGTACAATGGTAGTTCCATAAGATTATACTGCCATATTTTTACTGTACTTTTCTCTCTTTAGATATGTTTAGATACACAAATACTTACCATTGTGTTGTAACTCTTGACAGTATTTAATACAATAACATGCTGTATGAGTTTACAACCCAGGAGCAATAGGCTATACCATACAGTCTAGGTGTGTAGTAGGCTATACCATCTAGGTTTGTATAAATATTATATGATGTCCTCTGAAGGACAAAATTGCCTAACAAACACATTTCTTGGAATGTATCCCTGTCATTAAGTGATACATGACTGTATATACATATATATGTACATTTGAATGTATTTATTCAATTATCAATTAAAAAATTTGTCACTTTAGACTAGAAAACATTAGTATGTATATATACATATATATTACATATATTGAAAAATAAATCTTTCACTTAGACCAGAAAACATCTATATGTACATATGTACATATTATATATATTTAAAAGTAAATCTTTCACTTTAGACCCAAATATATATATGTATATATAAAAATGGGTATATATATTTATACATGCATCTAAAGTGAAAGATTTATTTTTTAATTAATAAATTGAACAATACAAACAGTATACAGTATAAATACAGCAATTAATATAAACATCACACTCCAGGGTATTATGTTTTTGAAATATTTTGATAGACAAATGTATTCTTTCATTACTTTTAAGATTTCTTTTGCTGGGTGTGGTGGCTGATGCTTGTAAAGCACTTTGGGAGGCCATACATGAGTGGATCGCTTGAGCCCAGGGGTTTGAGACAAGCTGGGTAATAGTGAGACCCCATTTCTACAAAAAATGCAAAAATTAGCTGTACATGATGGTGCACACCTGTAGTTCCAGCTACTTGGGAGGCTGAGGTGGAGGATCTCCTGACCTTGTGGAGGTCAAGGTTGCAGTGAACTATGATCACACCACTGCACTCCAGCTGGAGTGACAGAGTAAGACCCTGTCTAAAAACATAATGTCTTTTATTATAATGAGGTTGGATATATTTGTGCATTTATTTTCTGGTTATATTTCTTTTTTTCTGATTTGCCTGTATATATCCTATCCATTTTCCTATTGCTTAGTTTACCTTTTGCTTATTAATTTATTAGATTTATATATTTATTTTAAATGTATTAAGACTTTGTTGCATATGTTGCAACCTTTTTTTTTCCCCTCTGGCTTGACATTTGCCTTTCAGATTTGTTTATGTGGTATTCCTCATTTGAAGAATAAAGCAGAACCAAATGTCTTGGTTTGAAGATTGAGATGAAATGGGAGGGCCACAAATAGTGATTTCTCTTTGAGCATTGTATAGATACACATGTAACCTGATACTACACAAAAAGTAAAAGCTCATGGACTGTCAGTGATGTGGTGGGATATGCCAGAGGGAAGTGATTTGTGGACTCACTGGAGAGAGACTTCTACTAGAAGTAAGTGCTAAACAGATAGTGCAGAAAATATCCAGAGAAAGATATACAAGAGAAGGAGGGAAAGGTAGGGATATCTATGCAAAAGGAAATAAGGTATGTTTCCTCTGGTGAAATTAGAGAGACTTTATTAATGTGTGAATTGTCAATTTCTAATCGCGTGAGTTGAGCTTGTAGCTCTAGAGGCCAGCAAATACTTATTTGTTCTGTGAGCTCAGAAAACCAGAGGATCCCCAGAAAATCTCAATGTGAGCATCAAAAAATAATGTGGCATCACCCAGAATTTAGGAAAATATTTCTTTAAAATGCAGTGATTGTAAGTCTGTGAAATATTCACAAGATAGAAGTTTGGGAGTGGAGAAGGGAAGTGGTATTTTCAGGTTCATAAACACACTTTGGAATAAATGTTTGCCTAATTAAGCTTATTAGTAAAACTGTAGGGAAAGAATGCCTGGTCTGTCTTTTCAGATGCCTCCATATTGCTGTGAGAACAAATTGCTGATCCAACAATGTTCCATGAAATTACTCAGAAAAGTCATGAAAGAATGGACTGACATAAACACTATGTTCGTGTAAACTATGTGTCAGCAACTACCAGTTGTGCTAATCTATCTTGCCAGTAATTTTCTCATAAGTTGGCATGAAACACAGAAGGTCTCAACAAATAACTGAAAGGAAATGAAACAGAAGGAAAACAAAAATATCTCAGGCTGCCTTACTCATATTTAAAGCAATGTAGAATTCTTGTACTCATAAATGATGCTGAGTTTAGCTTGAAAAACTCAAGAGTAGGTTCCTTTTCCATACTTAGCTCCTTTATTCTTTGACATGAAAACTTATTCCACTTGACAGTATAATTTTCCTTGTTCTGGTACAAAGCCACCTTTTTGTGCTCTATAATGTGTTGATTATCTTGTCAGCAGTTAATGGCCTTTCTATTTCTACTTTGCTCTCAGCTGCTCTGCTTTAATAATGCTGGGACATTAATATCCTGAAGCAGTTCTCTTCCAGTGTTCCCAGACATCATGAAATGTGATAGGAAATTCACCTTCTCTCGTGAATCTTGTCTACACATTGGTTTTCTGCTTCCTTAATCTCTTTATAGCAGGGTGTCTTGCTGTTAAATAGCCAACTATTTATAAATCTCTACAGAAACTTTCTAGACTTGCTCTTCTATTTGAGTGAACTTCTAGGGCTGCCTTTAAAACTTCAGAACCCTAGGTATTTTACATGTAGTCATATTTTCATTCTGTAAGGGCACAGTTAAAAAGATTTTAAAAGTGGAAATTTGAATCAAAGACTTAAATTTCAACTTTTTTTTCCTAAAAGGGAAAAATTTTTGTAAAAGAAAATGAAGGAATAGAGAAAATTACCAGCAAGGGCTGTGTTGCACAATATTAAAACACAGTTTCTGCTATTAAGATGCCAAAACTATAACAGGAAGTAGAAGAGACCTAGAGGTCATTTTGAAACATGTCGTTGTTTCATATAAAGGTGACATGACATTCTGATTTACATAGTAAATGCTAGAGTGAGGCCAACTCTTTATATTCCTGAACTAGAGCTCCTTCATTACACAAATACCATTCCAACAAGTAAAACCCAAGTCAATGACTTATAAAAGATTCAAAGAGGAAGAAGCATTTGAGGTGGTCATTGAGAGAAGCATAGGACTTCCTTGGGTTGTATAATGATTTCTGCAACAAGATCAATGAGATATACTTTGCGGTTGATAAATGCTGAGGGAGCATTGGAGGAGGAAGGCAGAGGGCAGAAGACAAGGATTTGAGGAATGAGAAGCCACACTGGAGTGAAGACAATAATTGAAGATACATCTTTCCAGAAGTTTGGAGGCCGAGGAATGGTAGGGATTGGCAGCTTAAATGGGTACTGAGATGAAGGTTTATTGTTCATTTGTGTCAAATGCAGGAGACTAACATATATTGGCAGTATGCAAAGGGACTAATGGAGATTGAAGATTTACGAGAGAGGGAATAATTTATGAAATAAGTTCCCAGAGGAGGCAGGAAGGTGAGATCAAATTCCTAGATGGGCAGGTTGGTTTTGATGAAGAGCAAGGATAATACTTTCTTTGTCAGATTGATCAGGAGATGAAGAGAGGCAGGTGAAGATTCAGAGAGGAACAGAACCGAAGGAGCTTGTGTTGGATGCCTTTATCCTTTGGGAGATGAACCCATGAGATCACATCCTAAGAATGAGGCAGGGAGGGTCAAGTTGGAAATTTGTGAGTGAAAATAGATCTGAACATCTGGGATGGGGGATGAGGAAAAGTCAACGAGAGATGAGATGCATAAAAGGCTTTCCCAGCAGAATGGAGGGGACAGTGGAGATTAGTCTTATTTTCTCCAGCTGTGCTGAGAAGACTGGGGTAAAGATGAAAGCTACCCTGGGTTTCCAGGCATTAGGAAGACCAAGGTGGAGAAGCCAGGAAGACCTGCAGGTGGGGAGGGTATGACGTGGAAGCAACTGCATCATTGACCATAATCACAGAATGGAGGCTGGATAAGCTGTGTTGTGGGGCAGGGAAAGGATCAGGGGATTTGCACGGGGGCTGGTAAAACTTGATTTAAGTTCTTGGAAATAGGTAAAGGCACAATGTAAGAATGGGAAGCTGTTTCAAAGGGAAAAGTCACAGCTCTTGGTTTTAGTAAATACCATCATAAAAAGCTCCAAAAGAGGCCAAGCATGGTGGCTCGTGCCTGTAATCCCAGCACTTTGGGAGGCTGAGGTGGGAGGACAGCTTGAGGTCAGGAGTTTGAGACCAGCCTAAGCTACTTAGTGAGATCCTGTCTCTGCAAAAAATGAAAAATAAATTAGCTGGGTCTGTACCTAAGCTACTTGGGAAGCTGAGGTGGGAGGACTGCTTGAGCCCAGGAGGTGGAGGCTGCAGTGAACCATGATCGTGCCACTGCACTCCAATCTGAGCAAGAGACATGCTCCAACCTGAGCAACAGAGACCCTGTCTGTGAAAAAAAAAAAAAAAATATATATATATATATATATATACACACACACACACACACACACACACACACTCCAAATCAGACTCAGCATATACATGTCCATAAATGTGCTAATATTCACTCTAGCCAGGTAGTCCTGGTTTTAAGTATTCACACTAAAATCCCCTGTAGGCCAAATTGCTCAGGTGCTATGCTATAAGAGATTACAGTTTATCTTATCCAAAGGCAGAAACATTTAATTTTCCTTTTTCCTTTGATGGAATTCTTCCTTACCATCAACACCTATTCATTCATAGTACAGTTTTCTGTCTTAACTATTATTGGGTTACTAACAGGAGAACCCACTCTGTTCCAGAAATTGCATTGACATGAGGAATTAAGGAAAAAAAAAAAAAAAAAAAACATGGAGCCGTATTCTCCAGAAGCTTACATCTAAGGAGATAGGTAAGTAGACAATTTCAACATAATGCATTAAGTGCTATGAGAGTAGTATGATGGTGATAGGTGCTATACGAGACAAAGGTTCTAGGTTAATTGCTTTGATATAACTGCCACCCTTTAACAAGGTTAAACTGGATTCTTTAATGTAGACCTTATTGAGAGTTTCTAATATGTTACTGTGCTTTGTGAATCTTCGTGTGTGGAGTAGAGATCCAGTCTGCCAAGTTCTGCAAACTCATCTGACAACAGAACTCTTTTTCAATGAAATATCTCAAGGGATTTGTGCTCCATGGGACAGAAGATGAGAAGGGCTGACACAAGATTCTCACCTAGTGAAAAAAAAAGTATGTATTTATATTTTTCAAAACTGGTTGGATGGGGGCTTTCTCTCAAATACGTAAAGGACTTTTGAAGTTTTTTTTTTTTAGTCCTATGACAGTAAAGATACAGACTTAAAAGGATTTACCATGAAGATTTTAATGACTGCTGGGCTGATTATTAAGCCTGATCCCAGTGAAATGGAATACCTTTAGTCATTTTCATTTTTGGACTGTTTAACAGTTTTTCTCCAAAAGAAATATTTAATGAATACAATATCACATTCCTCTCAGTGCTTCTAATTAACAGACCACTGAAAGATCTTTGTTAAAGGAAAGGCTAGCTTCAGGCCAGAAGGCATTGCAGGATCTAATATGTATGCTACCATGGGTGACCAAGAGTAAAGATAAACTAAGGATTTGAATATATAAGGGCTAATGTTTGCGTCCATTGTTATGGAATTTCTGACGATCACTCTCTAGTCTTTCCTAATATTTGGCCTTTAGGAAAAGTGTTTTGGACTGAATTGTTCTCTCTCCTCATTATCCTCCTTAATGTGTGAAAGTCTCACCTGCTCTCTATTTCATAAAGAGGAAAAACAGATCCAGAGGACCATTTCATGATTCATCCTTTTTCAAAATGTTTCTTAAAACATTAAATACAGTTTTATTATTGTAAGCTGTTTATAATTGTATAAAGGCAGCCATTTCTTTAAGAAAGTCTCATCTTGTTAAAATAAAGATTTAACTCTGACCTGATTTTTAGTTTAAAGAAGTTCACAGCAAAAATCAGGGTATAGAATTATCCATGTATTAAAGAGATGTTGTCTATAAAACCTTATGAGGATCAGGACTAAGAAAAAAACATTCATTAGTCTTTCTCTCTCTGCTCAGCTAGATTTAATAAATGATATGTGTGGGAACTATGCTAAGAACTTTATATGATGCATTGTCTTTGGTCTTTACCATATACTATGGATATATGGGTATACTCCTGGTATACCCATTTTACACATGAAAGAAAAGTAAGGCTCAGAAAGGTTACATAACTAGCTCAAACTGTAATGCCATAAGTGCCAGTGAACCCACAGCCAAGTGTCTTATGCATTATGCTACATTTTCCTCTAACCCACAGCTTTCCTTTGTCTATGTTAAAGCACCTTGAATTTTGACCCCTCCTAGGAGCCAAAGTTATTTCTAAACTAAAACACCAGAAGGTTAAAAATAAAGTCTAAATTTTTTTCAGGAATCCTGAGCGTTAGGGCTGGACTCCCCATCTCACCTGATCCTATACTTTTGATGTTAGCCAGGCAAGGGCTAGGAGGCTTTTTACACTAGGCTTAGTGTAAAAAGCATCAATTCTAGAGTCAAAAAGACCTGGATCTGCTTCTCAGTTTAGCCACTTAATAGCTGTGTAATGTTGAACAATGTCCTTAATTTTCTGCCTGAGCGTTCCTCATCTGTTAAATGGTGCTGGACTGTTTTCCTTCCTAGGGAGCTGTGGCATCAAATGAAGTGCTGGAGAGTGCTCAACAACAGCCTGTTGTTGGCAGCTGTGATAATATCACATAGAATCTGTCTAAAAGGCTACTTTGCTAGAATGGTCTAAGGGAAACTCTTAGCATTGCTTCATCCCTATAGTTTGTGCCAAAGATTAAACTACCCAGGGAAGATAGCAAGGGGTTATTAATAATCAGCCCATTGTCCTTAAAACAGGCTGGGTAAATGCAAATAGGAGAAAGCAAGGGAAAGCAACATCCAGAGTGGGAGGCCATCAGAAAGGGACAGGGGAGGCAGAAGGCAGCCATCAAGAGTGAGGGAAATAAGAGGAGAAAAGCTGAAAGGCTGGACTTCTTTACAGTTCTGCATGAGCTGCTGCTCACTCACCTCCACTCTGGTCCCGTGTGACAACTCACTGAGAGGTGGAAATAATGTTCATGAAAAGAGGTCCTGTCTTTGATTTGGGCCCTGAAGAATCACACCTGACGCGCTTTAGAAATGGGTTCAGAGGTCACAAAGCATAGGCAGGCGACACATGTGTGCCAGGCTCTTAGTTTAGGCATTCATTTCTACTAGATCATCTGGGAGACCTTGAGCTAGACTGCATTCTAAAATGTCAAGGACATTGAAAGGAAATACTTTACTTCCCTCACAGGAGTATTGTGAGAATTAAATAACAAAAGGTACCTACACCCCAAGGCAGGCTTGAGGAACCTCATTTTCTCCAGGTGCACAAGAACAGGCCTTCCCCAAGATTGGAGAGAGATCTTGGCCACCCAAAGATACCCTGCACTAAAAGGCAGGCTTCAGAGTTGACTAGACCATGATTCAGACCCCAGCTTTGCCACTTCCCAACCTTAGAAAGTCTACTCATTCATTCTTTTATTCATTCATTGACCACATAGGTACCAAACAAAATGTATTGAACAGAATTTTACTCATGACCTACTTTGCACCAGGGCACAGTGCTAGATGCTGTGGATACAGAGATGAACAAGACCGACAAGGTCCCTGTCCTCATGAATGCTTTATCTTCACAGGAAAAGAGATGAACAATGAACAAGTAACAAACAAATGAGATAATTTCAGGTTGGGATAAATGTTATACACAAAATAAACTGGGCAAACTAATGAGGAGTAATCTGGGTGTGAAGAAAGTGGTTATAAACTGCGCGGCGGTCAGGAATGTTCCTTTCTGAGAGGAAGCACTTGACCTGGGATAGAAGCGTGGGAGCCAGCTTGATATGGGAATGGCTGGGGAAGGAGGCACCCCCTGTGCAGAGCACTGGCCCTGGGCCAGGAAAGGCCTTGGGACTCAAGGAACAGAGAGAAGGCCCACGTGACTATGTGGACTCTGGGACTCTGATTGTGGCAGAATGAAAGCAGATGAAGCCAGCAAAGTGGGGAGTGATCCAACTGTGCAGGACCTCAAAAACCACAGTATGGGATGAAGTTTTACTCGGAAGGCCATAGAACAGTTACACACAGGGGAGGGCCAAGATTTGATTTCCATTTCAAAGAAATGATTCTGGCTGCTGCATCTCTCTCTCTCTCTCTGGCGTATAGAGAGAGTAAGGTGGAAGAGAAGATCCAGCTACAAAGATATTGAAGTCGTTTAAGTAAGAAATGATGGCAGCTTAGACTAGGGTGGTGCCTGGAGAGAGAGAAGTGGACATGTTTGAGATGAATTTTAGGGGTGTCACTGAAGGGTTTCGTCTGGAATTTGGGGAAGAGTGGCAATGAAACAGGAGGAATCAAACTATTTAAATGTCCTGAAACTTCAGTTTCTTCCCCTAAATTTGGTGTTACTGTAGCGTATTAAGGACTAAACAAGAGAGTATGTGCTGCCCAGCACAAAGTAGGTACTTGATAAATGGCCAGCTTGTCACTTGTTCTGACCCAGGTTGAACTCTGAACCTTCTAGAAGTTCCAGCAAGTTCATTTCAGGACTCAGTCATTAGAAATTCCAACTATTAAAAAATGTATGCTAAGCTCAATAGGTTCAGAAAAATATCTTAAACTGTCATCAATTTGGAAGTAAAGTTGATACTGAGTTATTAAACCATCCAGAACAGCCAATATGAAGCTTCCAGACAGACTGTAACAGCTGGCAAGTGTTGGCCGTATGCGTATTTGGATGCTCTGTGACTTAAAACTCCTTTCTCAATGGCAAGAATTTTTGGAGAAACATGTACTCTCTGTGGACAGAAACCACATGTGGAAAACAATAGCCTAGGTTTGGGTGTCATAACTCTGGAAAACTCTTGATCTCTGAAGCTTTGACAGGGGTGAGTCACTGACAGTGAAAAAGCTACCTAGGGGCAGGAAGACCATTCATCTAACTCTGTTCCTACCCAGCTGTATGGTCACAGGAACATCTCCCAGCACTTCAGGGAGGGGGACCTGGGCAGGGACACTACACAGACATATCCTTGCACAGGCCTTTGGCTACCACAGAATCTGCTGGGCTACCATGCCTGGTTTCAGTGCAGCTCAGCTGCATATGAGCCTGAAACACATGGTCTTTCTTATTGCTCTCTTCTTTTCTGCTTTTATACTACTTTAGTAAAATACTATATTTTTATAAAATATTATACTTTTATAAAATAACTTTTGTAGTTATTCAGAGCAATAGTTCTCTATGTTGGATGTTACAATACCCTGGTGCACTTTATAAAATACTGATTCCCAGGCCCCACACCAAGAGAGTCTGACCTAATCAGTATAGTAGATGCACCACCCAACTGATCCTTCAGGAATGAAGGGCTTATTCTCCCAGTTGCTGAAAGTGTAGCCAGTGGACAGCACTCGACTTGTTAGTCCTGTGGAAAGTTGCCGGGCATTTCAAGGCAATACCCTCTTCCTGAGGTAGCCAGCATCCGATGACCAATCAATATGGGACTGTAAAGACAACATTGCTCAACCCAGGACAACTCTGAAAGGCCACACCAGTTTCAGAGCTCCCTGTAGGTCAGCTGAAGCCTTCCTTGAGAACGCACTGCAGCCTGACAGCTTCTCCTGCCTGATCGCCTGATCCTGCTTCCTTTCCTTTCCTTCCCTTCCTTCAGTGGTGATCCCAAGAGCAAACCTCATAAGCTTCCTGCAAATAAGTCTCCATCTCAGGGTCTGCTTTCCTTGGTTTGGGGTAATACTTGGACATCAGCATTATAAAGGTCCAGAGGTGATTTTTTTTTTTTTTTTTTAGATGGAGTCTCGCTCTGTCACCCAGGCTGGAGTACAAATCTTGGCTCACTGAAACCTCTGTCTACCTCCTGGGCTCAAGCAATCCTCCTGCCTCCGCCTCCCGAGTAGCTGGGACTACAGGCATGCACCACCATGCCCAGTTAATTTTTAAAATATTTTTAAGTAGAGATGGGGTTTTATCATGTTGGCTACGCTGGTCTCCAACTCCTGACCTCAGGTAATCCACCTGTCTCTGCCTCCCAAAGTGCTGGGATTACAGGTGTAAGCCACCATACCTGGCCCTCCCCAGGTGATTTTAATGAAGGCAAATAATCCCTGCTCAA